TAAAATCCTCCAATCATCATTTTTCTGGAACAGCATGAGTTATCCAAGAACTGGGCCATAAGGCCGGACGGAGTCCGCCCATGCTTCCAAATTCCTATATGTGCTTGCTCCTTCTCCTTTTTGTGCTCTGAAAAGGTTCATTGGTCAACTTTGTTGGGGGCTATGACTTTTTCTAACTCTTCTAAAGTTGAACGAGCTTACCATATAGTTGACTGCTTTTCGTTGCAAAAAGCCAAAAACAAGATCCATAAAAAATGGATTCCTTCACATGGCTTCTAGAACAACTCCTTTAACATTTATTCGAAGTCCTACGGAAGGTAAATCATCATGGAAAAGTCATTCTCGTGTCCTTTTGAAGAAATAATTCTTAATCCAAACCAGCCAATGATCAAGAAGTATATATGAAGTATTTTTAGGGAAGGCATTAATATGGATTTAATTAATGGAGAGTGGAAAAACTAGTCTATGTATGACAGAATGGGATCATTGACGTAATCTCACACCTTGGTTTTAGCATGGAAAAAACCCTTCTTTAAGCTCCTCATCAACTTTTTTAACAATACGCGGTCAACCATTGAATTAAAAGAAGAGTTAAGTAGAATTTCTTCATGTGATCTAGTAGATGGATCACATTACTTTAATGGTTAGTTTGGGAACATGAATTTGATTTCAACCTTTTAAATTTAATATCACTGTTTGTTTTTACTTAAATAAAAAGTAATTGAATTTTAAAAAAATATATGTATTTCACCTGTGTAATTTAAAAGGCTAAAACTCGTGTATTTCAATTTCACCCTCAAACCCATGAATTTTGATTTCAAATTGAATTTTCTCTGCACTCTCTTATCTCACCGGCGACGATGAAACCTCCATTGTCCGTCCATCTTCTCCTTTACCATTGCTCTCCACCTTCTCATCGTCGGTCACTCACCACTCCGCCGGGATGGAGAAGGAAGGACGATGTGGTCGGTACATCACGTAGAGGACTATGTTGGCGATGGAAGTGAGGAGGGCAAGGATGAGGAGAATCAAAATGGACCAGAAGCAACATTGACAGCAAAGGTTGTGTTGGGAGTGGTAGTGGTGGCGGCGGTTGTAGGGAGGAGGGCGGTAGGGAGGCTGGGAGGTGGGATTATAAAGATTGGACTTGGTGGGTCCACTGTTGGTGGTTGCAGTCGTGGTTCCGGCACCATTCATGGCGACAGCGGCGGTGTTGGTAGGTTTGGTGGAGGGGAAAACTCTGTTCGTCATTGTAATCGGAAAACCAAAAAAAAAAGAAGAAGAAAGGGTTCAGATTTGCAAGGTAGTGGCTGCTGGAAGAGTGAGATTTGAAGACAGAAAAATGAGGCGTAGATTTGGCCACCTCACTAGAATTGACGAATCTCTTGTACTTCTAATTCTACTCTGTAAAAATTTAATGGAGGAAAAAGTATTTTACACTTAAGAATGTTTTAAGTTTGTATAATTTTAACT